TGTGGAACCTTCACAAATCACAATCACAATAATATTCATAACAGTAACTGTACGGAGTTTTCAATGTTGTGGAAGCTTAAAAAATCACAATCACAAAACATAATTTATTTATGTCCTTCAATTCAAAACCATCACATCCATTCTGACAATCTCCTTTCCGTCTGCCTCCAGGATCATGTCACATCGTTCGTTCTATTTACGTGCGTGTAGCAAATAAAACATACTACAGGCTTAGCGTTGAAGCTGAGAAAGCATATCTAATGCGTCGAACATCCATATAAATTGAATCGCAATTCATAATCAAATCATTTGATATCATGCACAAAACGTTCAGTTCAGACATTCAATAATCAATGTTCAACATTCAACATTCATATTCAAGATTTATAGTGTAAACAATGCTCATAAACTATTCTTAGTCTAAGGCCAGTTTAGTATTTACCAACTCTTAAACTAATTCTAGTTTAAGGTACTTCTAACCAATTCTTAAACTATATTCTAGTTTAAGGTAATCCTAACTAACTCTTAAGTTATGCTAGTTTAAGGTACAATTTGGTTTTAAAAGGTTTTCCAACTCTCAAACTAGCATTCGCTTAAGGTACAACTAGAAACCGATCAGCGGACTACTCACTGTCGGGTTGGGTGGTACCCCCAAATGAGTAGGTACTCAAGTTTTCTTTGTGGATCCCGTACGTATGTTTTAACACTGGCCACCGAACATCATACCAGCAATGTCTAACTCAATGGGTATATCTTAGAGTTCTTCTAGATTCCCTGAAAATCAACATTAATTAACTAACATGGTCATTTGGGTATATCTTAGAGTTCTTCTAGATACCCTTAAAATCAACATTAATTAACTAACCTGGTCATTTGGCTATATCTTAGAGTTCTTCTAGATACTCTTAAAAATCAACATCACTATGGATGTATCTTAGAGTTCTTCTAGATACCCTTAAATTTAATACACACTATTCATAATTATCATTCTAATCAGAATATTCATTAAGGTTTAATCAACATAATCATCAATTAATAATATTCATCATAATCATCAATCAATATAACATTTAATAGCAAAGAGCGGCCTAGCTTTGAGTATTAACACCCAAGCTTACAGTCATACATCACATAAGATTTTATTTGTCAAAAACATCATTTTTATTGTGAGAAATCGTCTTTATATTGATCATAAATGAATGGTATAAAAAATAGAGCTCCAAAATAGCATTTTCAGAAAAGTGTTCAAATCAACCGGTTCAGGGGATCGATCCATGGCTGGTGATCGATCCACCTCTAGTGATCGATGCACCCCCTTGGATCGATCCTCCGAAGGTATTTTGCAAAAAGATTACTGTTCATCGTCACCTAACATCAATTAAACTATATATAAATGTTGTCCATGGTTCATAGATAATTGTGGTATTATTAATTCTTAGTTTTAACACAAATTTAAGGTTTATGATTCTTGGTCTTTCAAACATGTCAAACACAAAACTCAACCAAACGACCATTTATAAACGAAGAAACGATCTATACAAACATTCTAGTAACTAGATATATCTATTGGCTTACCTCAAGCTTAAATGAAGGTTTTGAGAATTTCTCGGTGAAACTTCCGGCGAACACTATAGCTTCCTCTGGTGACCTCCAGCTCTCTGTGTTAGAATAAGTGACCAACGCTAGAGGGGGGGTGAATAGCGTTTGATCGTAGAAATTGCAGGAATAAAAAATTAAGAACGTGAAAAGTAAAGAGCGTAGAAAGCGTAAAGGGAGCACACCAAGATTTATACTGGTTCACCACAACGTGTGGCTAATCCAGTCTCCCGAGATACTCTCTCGAGCTACACTACTTCCGTTAAGCTTACGGGTGCTTAACAAACCGTTACAACCTGAGAACTTGAGTCCCACGAGCCTCAACAACGAACGAGCCTCTATGGCGTGAGGTTCTGAAGTTGGGCTTCCTTTTATGGAAAGGAAGCATGTTGGTTCCCTTTGTTCGAAGGGAATTGCACATATGTTGTGATTCTGTGAGTTCTTGTTCTGAGAGGAATTCTCACCTATACTCATTTTATATATGCGAGTTCTTGTTGAGTTTGAACACACAAATTGGCTCTAGAAAGGTATGGAAAATAATGTGATTTGGATGCAATGATAATATGAATATTGTGAAGTGAATTGGTGTGTAAAGCAGACCCAAACACCCCTTTTTATAGTGCCAAAAAAGGCTCCAACGGACCAATGCATTAAAGGGGTGATTAGCTTGATTTATGGGATTGAAAAGATTTGGGATCTGCAGAATATTGGCTTCCCATCGATGTTTAGACTCAACCATCGCTGGTAAGCCAAATTTCCTTCAGTTTTGAAGCCAACGGTCACCTACCCATCGATGGGCAAATGCTTCCCATCGCTGGGTGGGAAGTTGACTTTCAAATAAGGAAAGAATCAGCCTTAAATGACTCACAACGGTCATGCCTAACCATCGATGGTTAAGCCTTCCCATCGCTGGGTTCCCATCGATGGGTAAAGCTTCCCATCGCTGGGTAAGGGCATTCTGCCTTGTGGTAATGTTGCACCAAGGCTTTAACAGCGATGGGTAGAACTTCCAATCGCTGTTTGGCATGGTTCTGGAAATCAGTTTCGCTGAGGGACTGCTTACCAATCGATGGGAAGATCTTCCCATTGCTGGGTGGCATGATTCTGGAATCCCGGGATCACTTACCCATGCATGGGTGAAATCTACCATCGCTGGGTAGATGGCTAGCCCAGAACCATGGCCTAGCTGACCGGGCTGAAACCCGACCGAAAAATGCAAAGTTCTCCAAAGTAAAAACTAAGTATATAAAACACTTATTTAATGTAATTTGATGTCAAAACAATCTTTGTAAGTTGAAAACCACATCGTTAAGGTAAAACCACGGTTGACCAAGTCAACACGGTACACGGGTGGTTTTCACCAAAAGACAAAACCGAAAGGTGGTTTTCATGATGTTTTGATAAGAGAACCATTTAAATGCAATCACAAACAATTCCCACACAAAAAGACTCGAAAACCACTTCATTTAAGTAAAAACCACGGCTAGCCAAGTTTATGCCGTTTCGCATGGTTTTTATCAAACGACAAAAAACGAAAGGTGGTTTTTGAAGTGTTTTTGATGAAAAACTATTTAAATGTGCCCAGAAGTAAAAACCAATCATAAAAAGTTGAAAACCACTTGGTTGGTTCAGACGCCAAAAACCAACACCGAAAACCAAATGCCGAATGCCGGTTTCTGAAACCCGAACGCCGGATGGCTTGGTTTTTGGTTTGGGCGAACACCAAGTGTTTTTAATGTTTTAAAAATCTTTGAAAAACATTTTTATGATGTGTGAAATGCAATGAAAAGAATTTTAGCCTAAAGAGCCAAGGTGTAAAGATTGGGTCGGTCTTGATCACAATAAAGATCGACTCAACGATGCTAAGACTAAGGTCTTCGTTCTTGGTCTCCGTTTAGCTCTTGTTCTCTTTCTTCTCATCTTTGGTTCTCGCCTTGTATATTCAATGACTTGTCTCGTTCACGGTGGTTTGGCATTATCAAAACCTGTCATAACAACGAACGCCGCTTTAGTACGAAAACGTGATAAACCCGTGTTTCAACAATTTCCCCCTTTTTGATAATGGCAAACGAGATGGGGTTATGCATAAGAGGATTTATTTGAGACTTAAAAAATGTTCCCCCTTAATAAATGCAATTTTCTTTTCAACAAAGTTTATGTGTTGAATAAGAGTTAGTTTTAGAAATAGTTCCCCCTCAATCTATGCATAACCTTTACATCTTTCCCCTTTTGACATTAACAAAAAGAATTAAAAGTAAACTTTTATTCATTAAAAGGGAAATGCAGAATACAACGGATAACAATACAATCATATTTAATAAGGAGAAAAAAAAGGAGATGCATGTCGTGGCGTCGGTGTTGGCCTTCTTCTTTGAAGCCTCGGTTTTGGTCCTTGACTTTCTTCTGGCCATTGTTGAAGCGTTTAGAAAGTGAGTAGAGGCTTAAAGTATGCAAAAGGAATGTAAATTGTGTGTTAAAAATGACCAAGGATGGTTAATATTTATAGGAAAAGAGAATTTGGGCCTTTGGTGTTCAAAAATATGGCTGTTGGGCATTGAATGAGGTGCCCAACAGCTATGATTTTTGAACTGCAACAGGCTTCCCAGCGATGGTAAGGTTCTCCCATCGATGGGAAGACAGGTACTGGAAAGGGAGAAAAAAAGTGAAGGCAGCCTTCCCAGCAATGGTAAGGTTCTCCCCTCCATGTGAAGACCGCTACTAGAAATCCGTTAAAAAAATTTTTTAAAAAAAGTGTCAAACACCCAGCGATGGGAAGAAGTTCCCATCGATGGGAAGAGAGCTGATGGTTAGAAAATACTTCCTTCCTAGCGATGGGATAAACAACCCATCGCCGGTTCCCCTTGAGTTCCTCACTTTGATACGTACCTGCAAAAAAGAGCAACACTTTGGTACCCAAAGTATGTCTATGGGTCCTTGGGGGTTAGTTAACCTTTATTGCCCACACACACACACACCCAAAGTTCGTTTCCTTATGCGCACACACATACACACACACACGATGAGATAATCGTTTATGAATTACCTTGGCTAACCCGTCGTCTCGTGGTTGGCGGGTTCCAGTCTACCTGAACGGAGTGCCGATATCTCGGTATGGTCTATGTTGGTTCCGGTAACGGAATGTGGACTTTCTTCTTTTCGTCAAAGTAGAAGAAATAGTATGGTTTCTTTTGTGCATTGTCCTGTGGAGATTGTTTATGATACGAATATCCTTTTCTAAAGGATTTCTTTTCGTTAGCACTAAATATGTTGTGTGTTTCATTGTAGGTGAAGTGCCTATGTCTGGTAAAACACACGGGAGCTATATGTCCTACCCTATTGCAATAATGGCATACTACGTTTGGGTTGAACATATGCCTAGGTTGATAATAGCTAGGGGGCCTAACCATGTTTGTCCTATTTTGAGAAAAGGATGGTTTATGCATGTTTTCAAAAGGATCATTTCTAGGTGTTCTCATATTGTCTCTTCTATTTTGAGAAAAAATATTTTTATGCACAAAAACATTTTGATAATTTTTCTTAGGTTGTCTACCATGAACGTTTTCATTCCTAGGTTTTTGTCTAGGTTGTCTAGTGTTCTTAGATTGACTAGGTTTTCTATTTACTTGATTTTTAGCTTTCTTACGTTGAGCCTTAGGAGGTTGTCTAGGTGTTTGCTCAACGTTTTCTTTATCCTTAGCTTCATTTTTATTAAAACCTATTCCTTCTTTAGAAAAATGCATGGTGTCAAGGAGTAAATTAAGATCTTTGTGTGGAGTATTAAATTTCTTAACCGTACTCTCAAGTTTAGTGACTTGTTCCTTTAAAGCTTTACAAGATTCACATTCGTTTGAGGAACTTTCCGGTTTGTCGGTGCTTCTTTTGCCATAAAATTTATTTTCTTGTTTCAACTTCTCATTATCTTTTTCTAGCTTTTCAAAATCATTTTCAAGAGTGGAAAGGCGTTTCTTTAATGATTTGTTGATTTTAGAAGCGCTAACAAATTCATCATAAAGTTCGTGAAGTGCTTCTTGCATTTCTTCAAAAGTGTAAGAGTCGGAAGAAATGGTACATACCTCTTGTACATTGTCGGTTTGGTCTTCGTGTGCCATGAGACAGAGGTTGGCAGCTTCATCCTCGTCTTGGTCGGTTGACTCGTTGCCGGAGTCGCCACCCCAAGAGATATATTCCCTTTGCCTTTTGAAGTGCCGAGCATTCCTTCCGCTTTTCGGGAATTTGTTCTTAATGTGCCCGGCTTCACCACATCCATAGCACATAGGGCCATCCTCAACCTTTTCTTTCTTCTTTAGAAGTTTGCAAAAATTCTTCATGACAAGCTTGATTTCATCATCGTCGCTTGAATCATTCATTGTTGATTCTTTGATGGCTTTTAATGCTATGCCTTTCCTTTGGTCATTCAAAGACGGGTTAAGAATAGTAGATTCATAAGTTTTTAGATTACCTCTTAGACCGTCGAGGGTGACATTTGATGTGCCGATTGATTCATAGATGGCATCGGCCTGGGATCGCCATTCGGATGTCAAGCTTCGTAGGATGTTTCGCACAAGATCCCTGTCGGTGTACGTCTTCATTCATTGCCTTAATTTTATTTTTGAGGTCAAAATTATCATTTTCCAAAAATTTATTTTCCTCTTCCAAAGCATGAGTTTTTACCTTAGCCTCTTTGGCAATTTTTGAAGTTTTCTTCAATTCACCAAATAATTCTTGAAAGGCTTCTTGTAATTCTTCAATTGAGAAAGAGTTAGAAGTACTTACCTCTCCATTTTGTTCATGAGCCATAAGACATAAGGTGGCAGTTTCGTCACCGGAACTTTCCGAATCCCATGCCGTGTATGCTCGTTCCTTCTTCTTCTTTTCCTTGCGGTATGGGCAATATGGCTTAATGTGGCCAAGTTCTCCACAACCAAAGCACGTTGGAACGGGTTCCCCCTTTCTTTTACAATCTCGGGACCTAAGTTCTTCCTTCAAAAACTCTTGGAACTTTTCGAGCAAGTTATAAGAAAGATTATCGTCATTGCTATCGGAGTCACTTACCTCTACCCTTTTTGAGGATGAGGCTTTGAGAGCGAGACTGGGACTCTTGTGAAGAGAAGGTTTAAGAACAGTAGATTCATAAGTTTTAAGATTACCTCGAAGACCATCGATGGTGACATTGGTGTTACCAATTGACTCATATATGGCATCGGCTTTTGAGCGCCATTCTGATCTTAAGCTCCGAAGGATT